ATTCAGCTTCCCCTCTGGAAGGTTTTTAATGCCCTCTTCCTGATCTACAATTTTGCTCTTCCCTTAAAGTCTATTTCCCTGTTACAGAAATGTGTTCTAAGTCAGGCCAAATTCAGTCAAGAAACATGATGTAAACTTCAGAGAAAACCTAAATAAGTTTTCCCTACTTAAAGAGTTGTTTTAATTTTTTAGGCTAATGGAAGAGATGCAGAGGTTCTGTTGACTGGGTAAGAATTTAATCTTGGCTTTAATTTTCAGTCTTTCATTGGATATTCTTATACACTTTGATCAACACAATTGAAGTATTATCCAAAGAGGTTTTTTAAATATGAAAAGAATGGAAAGGTAGAAAGAATAGTAGACAAAGATTATTTGATCGGATCACTTGAGCTCTACAAATTACTAGCTATTTGGTCTTGGGCAAGTCATTTCACACATTGGGGCCCCAATTATCTCATCATTTAAATGAGCATTAAGCTGGATACCCTCTTTGATTCTAGTGCCAAAGCATAATTTCATGATATACTCTGCATATTTTTTCCCCGTAAAACACATTGACATCATGCTAAATTAGATGGACTCATGTTCCCTCCTGTAAACAATTGTGGCCATTACCAAGATTTGCTAGCAAACAGAAAAGAGGCATGGCATGTCTCAAGTTCTTTTTCCTGTAATGCTCTGAGCACATTTTTGATGTGTTGAAAAACTACAGAGTATTTCTGTACGCTGCTCTTTATATGACTTGTTAGATCATACCAAAAATATTTCACAGAGCCTCTTTCATACTTTTTCTGGACTCACATCCAAAATTGAGCAAAAATATTAGATTTTTAAAAAATATATCTGTGTTACAGAAAGAAGCAAATGCACAAACTCGATGTTAATCTTCCTGTTCGACAAACCAAAGCATATTGATAAGCCCCTGCCAAATACCTGAGATGTATTATAAATGAACATAACTTTTGTTGGACAGCATGCTGACTGAGTTGTAGAATGCAGCCTGGAGGCATTTGTAACCAGATAGAGATACCATAAGACATAGTGTCCTCTGTGGGAAAAACATGATGGAAAATGTGAAATGTTTTAGAAAGCAGGAATTTCAAACTATCATCATCCTAGCAGATCTGATTACTCCCATGTGTTCTGATTTCACAGCAAATGCCAATCCAGTTGACATTTAGGGAGGAAGTTTCCCGAACAAACCATTTGTGGCATCCTTGGAAATACTTTTATATAGTCAGACATCATGAGAAAGCTTGGTATCATCCTAAATTGAAATTTGACTTTTTTTGATTAAAGGAAATCTTGAGTAACGACATAAGCTCCGACCTTAACATCCACTGCTAGTCGACACCCAGCCTGGAAACTACTTGACCTTTACAAGAAGTCCTGACACGGGGCAGCTTAACCTAATGCTCAGTGGGCTTCAGTAGTTCTGATCCTTTTTCTTCTTTCTGAGTGTCTCATAGGCTCATCTGAACATGATGCTCCCATGCTCTTTGCAAGTGACTTCATATTTATGATCAGTTCAAAAGGCCAAGAAACACAAGAATAAGCCAAGTCTTCCATGCCCTAACCTTGTCTCCCCATAAAACCCACTATACCTTGTCCTGGGGTGGGAGGAGGAAGGAGGCATAGGTATATTTCTTCACTAGAATTTTCTGTTGGCATCACCTCATCAGTGGAGAGGTTGGCCTCCCCACAAGCCTTCTGAATGTCCACCATGGTCCTTTACATCATATTCACCTGTCTTTCCCCAACTACTGTCCTTCCACTGCCAACTCAGGCAGTATCCCTTTTCTTCTTTACTTAGTTATATCAACTTGGTACCTAGAAGGACCCAGGGAAAAATAAGCTTTCCATCTTTCTATGAACAGAGTAAGCCAAAACTGTGAAAGAATAGGAAGAACTCAAACAGGAGAAGGAGAGAAGGGAGACACACAGCATCTGCCCCAATGAACTGACTGATCTGACTTCCCAAGCTGCATCTTGGTCCTTATTTTAAATACCCTAATTTTCTCTGATTCACTTTGCATCTTGAACTGAGTTGTTCTTTCTTATGAAGGAGTGGTTAGACATTCTAACTGAAGCACAACATTCTTGCATTTCCCTCTCAGTCTTTAAGAAACATCATATAAGCAGAAGTAATACCCTTAAAAAATTTTATTTTCCCAGGACTTCTGTGGCAGTCCAGTCGCTAAGCCTCTGTGCTTCCAGTGCAGAGGGCTCGGTTTCAATCCCTGGTCAGGGAACTAGGTCCCACATGCCACAACTAAAAAGATCACGCAAGCTGCAGCAAAGACTGAAAATCCCAAGTGCTGCATCTAAGACTCAGTATAGTCAATATACATATATATATTTATATATAAAATTTATATATATAATTATAATTTAAATATTTATATATAAAGAAGGGCTTCCTTGGCCCTCCAGGACAATTGCTCAGAAATGAGGAGAAAAGAGAAGTCTAGATACAGCATATGACTGAAACAAGACTTCCTCTGGATCCATCCATCAGCACCATGATCAAGCAGGAGGAATTTGGGGAGACAATGAGATGACTTCTCTAGACGGAAGACAGCAACTTCATAGCAGCTTTGGGTAATGAACAGGCCTCCTGATTTCCAGGGTACCCAGTCAAGCCCCAACTTTAAGCACTGGACCACAAGGCCAGGTCCAGAGAAGCTGAGCATCTGAATTTCAGCAGGATCACAATGGGTAGCAACGTCACCAAGAGCCCCAGACAAGGCCTCTTCAGAAGGCTGAGCCCGATCTCACAATTTCTTTCCTCTGCTTGAGACCTTGGCGGTCAGAATTGACCCTCCAGTCTGAGCAATATTACTGTTCTTGGGAGTGGTCATATGAAACAAGTGGAAGGAAAAATGGCATCCCTTCAGTTGCAAAAGGAACTAAGAATCATTGAAGCTGAATGTGCACATTTTATATCCAAAATGGATATCACATTTGTAGATGTGAGGCTGCCAGGGTTAATACCATGACAGGCGGCCTGGACCTAAGTTTTGGCTTCCCCCAAAACGGTAAGATTCCCTACCCCCATCAGGTAACCTGGAGCCAGCCAATCAATATGCTCCCAGTAAGAAACAAAGGGAGAGCTGAAAAGCCCGCGAACGCCCAGGTTTGAAAAAAAGCCCGCGAAAGTTTGCATCAATAAAATTGCTTTGCAAACATGTAACCAATCCGCTTAAGCCAGCTACTAACCGCTTATGCGTACCTTATAAATTTGGGTAACAGCCTCTGCTCAAGGCTTTTTCTGACCCTGTACCACTGTGTTGGTTGCGGCAGAAGGCCCTGACTCGAGTCAGTAATAAACTTCCCTTTTTGCGAATTGCATTGTCTTGGAAGCCTTCTCTCTTCCCGCCCGGGGATTCGGACATCGGTCAGAACATGTGGGGGCTCGTCCGGGATCCCTTGACCAGGAGAAGAGAACACTTACAGGACAAAGGGGAAGGATAAATAATAACACCGGTGCTCAGGACAGGAAAGTCCAGTGTAAATCCGAGGCCCTGCTGGGAAGCAGGAAGGTATCTGGTGCAGAAGAAAGCTTTCTATAAAGGGGGGCCAGCCGGCGTAAGGCCGAGGCCTGCGGACACGCTGGGAGACAGCCAACTCTGCGGAAAGGCTTTCTATAAAGGGGGGAACGGATTAAACGTTCCAGCCGGCGTAAGGCCGAGGCCTGCGGACACACTGGGAGGCAGCCGATTCTGCGGGAAAGAAAGTTTCTCTCCCGACCCCGAGTCTGGTAAACAGTGGACGCCATTTGGTAAGGTGAATCTGCTACCGGGAGGCAAGAAAATTCAGGGGGCCCGAAAACCCAGCGCTGTGTTGTCGGCCGATGTTTGTTTGTCTGTGTGTTTGTCTTCGGCTCTCCGTGTTTTTGTGTGTGTGCCGGCATCATCTCTGGTCTCGTTCTCTTCTGGTGCATCTTTCTTTTCTCTCTCTTCTGACTTATTCTCCTTCTCTGATCTGCCCTGAACTCCTTTTCTTTTTGGGAGTTTCAGTGAACAGGCGAGCGGTTGTGGTGGGGGCAATTGATGAGTCCCGGCCGGGGCTACACTCTGGCAGACTCTGAAGGCCCTACAATAAGTGAGCCTCAGTAACGGGAGCCCGATCGGGTGAAACTCTCCTTTAACATCCCTAACTGAGGACGTGGCCTAAAATTCTTTGTGTGGGCACGGGTCAGGCACTTGAAGGCCATTAGGGCGCCTGAAACTTGAAGACTCTTGTGAGAGGATAAGGGGGTCACGGAATGGGCTAGAAACCCCTAGGGTGCCCACCCCCAGCAAGAAAACTTCCGTGCAATGACGCAGGCACATAAACAGTTCCAAAAGCATACCATAAGCCCAACCTCTTGGCAGCCACCACTCCCGGTAGGATTTTTGGTGGTCGTTCTCAGTGACTTTTCTCTCTCTCTTCCCTACCACTTATTCTTTGACCATGGGTCAGGGAGAATCTACCCCACTTTCTCTCATGACTGACCATTTTTCGGATGTCAGGGCCAGGGCCCATAACTTGTCTTTGCTAGTCAAGAAAAGGTATTTAATAATAGGGAGACCCCAGAAGAAAGGGAAGAACAAATTTGATGGGAGGAAAGGGAATTAGCTGAGATCAGGAAAGAAGATAGGGAACATAGGGTGAGGGAAAACCGGATGAACCAGAGGGAGCTAGCCCAGATTCTTTTTGCGGGGGTGAAGGCCGGAACAGAACTGAGGGAACCTCGAGACCCCCGGACGGGAGAAAAAGAGAAACCAAAAGGGCAGGCCCTAAAGAAAGATCAGTGTGCCTACTGCAAAGAACAGGGGCACTGGAAAAACGAGTGCCCTAAGAGGGACCCAAGGAGAGGAACAACCCAGAGAGAGGGAATCTCCCCTGGAACTCGAGTTCTATATGCGGGGGAAGACAATGACTAGGGGAGTCAAGACTCGGCACCCCTCCCCGAGTCCTGGGTAACCATACATGTGGAGGGGAAACTCGTTGGCTTCATGGTAGATACTGGCGCCCAACACTCTGTTTTAAATAAAAAACTGGGACCAATATCTAAGAAAACCAGCTTAGTTCAAGGGGCCACGGGGACAAAAAGATATTGTAGGACCACAGAATGAAAAGTAAATCTGGGGACCCACCAGGTGTCCCATTCGTTTTTGGTGACACCAGAATGCCCAGCCCCTCAACTTAGAAGAGACTTGTTGACTAAAGTTAATGCTCAGATCCATTTTGACCCTGGGGGAATGTCAGTCACGGATGGACTTGGACAGCCGATACATGTCTTATCCCTAGCTTTAAGAGATGAGTACAGACTCTTTGTGCCTAAGCCCTCAGAGACCATAGCACCAGACGTACAACCGTGGGTTCACAAATACCCATTGCCCTGGGCAGAAACGGCAGGAATGGGACTGGCCAAACAGAGACATCCGGTCGTCATTGAGCTAAAGGCTGAGGTGATTCCTGTGAGGGTGAAACAGTACCCCATGAGCCAGGAAGCTCGGCGGGGGATCACTCCCCACATTCGACATCTCATGGATGCCGGAATTCTCAAGCAGTGCCAATCCCCTTGGAACACCCACTTACTGCTGGTGAAGAAGCCAGTGGGGACAGATTACAGACCTGTCCAAGACCTGCGAGAAGTCAACAAACAGGTGACTGACATACACCCCACTGTCCCTAACCGGTATACCCTCCTGAGCAGCTTACTGCCTGAGTACACTTGGTACACTGTGCTGGACTTGAAAGATGCTTTTTTCAGCCTATCCCTGGTGGCCCAGAGCCAGGAGATATTTGCCTTTGAATGGACTGAGGGGGAAGGCCGACCGGTAGTACAATTAACTTGGACCCGCCTCCCACAGGGGTTCAAGAACTCCCCTATCTTGTTTAATGAGGCTCTGAGTGAGGACCTCTATGAATATCGGGCTTGCCACCCAGAGGTCATTCTGCTACAATATGTAGATGACCTTATGTTGGCTGGAACTACAGAGGAGGCATGCAGCCGTGCCACCAGGGACCTCTTACAGACCCTAGGAACCTTGGGGTATCGCTCTAGTACAAAGAAGGCACAAATAGCCCAGCAAGAGGTCACCTATTTGGGGTATAAGATCAGGCAGGGGCAACGGTGGCTAACCCAGGCCATGAAAGAAACAATATTGCAGATACCAGAGCCCAAGACCCCCTGCCAGGTGAGAGAGTTTCTGGGGACTGTTGGATATTGCAGACTGTGGATCATGGGGTTTGCTGAGAAGGCCTGGCTCTTGTATGAGGGAAGTAAAGAGATCCCAAACTGGACTTGGACTGAGCCAATGAAACAGGCTTTCCAGACACTCAGACGGGCCCTACTAGAAGCCCCAGCCCTTGCCCTGCCTAACCCAAATAAGCCATTCCAGCTGTTTGTAGATGAGAAGCAAGGAATAGGAAAGGGGGTCTTGATGCAACAATGGGGACCATGGAAGCAGCCGGTGGCATACCTTTCGAAGTGACTGGACCCAGTGGCCGCTGGGTGGCCCCCTTGCCTTCGCATCATCACAGCCACTGCCCTCCTCGTCCGCGATGCTGACAAGTTGACGTATGGACAGCAACTCTTGGTTTACACTCCCCACGCCATTGAAGGGGTTTTAAAGCAGCCACCGGGTAAGTGGATCTCCAATGCCCGCTTGACACATTACCAGGCCCTGCTGCTCGATGCCCCACAGGTGCGTTTTCAGAACCCTTGCTTCCTGAATCCGGCCACACTCCTACCTAACCCAGAGAAAGACCGCCCTCTCCATGATTGCAGTGAGATACTGGCTGAGGCCCTGGAGGCACGAAAAGACTTAACTGATGTACCGCTAAACAACAGTGAGCTAGTATGGTTCACCGATGGGAGCAGCTATGTAAAAGATGGGCAAAAGAAGGCGGGGGCCACCATAGTTGATGAGTCAGGGCAGATGATATGGGCTAAGACACTTCCCCCAAACACTTCTGCACAAAAAGCAGAACTGATTGCCCTAATACAGGCTCTGGAGCAAGCCAAAGGAAAGAGAGTCACCATTTTTACTGACAGCCGATATGCTTTCAGCACTGCCCATATTTAAGGTCCCATATACCAAGAAAGGGGATTTCAGACAGCTGAGGGAAAAGAGGTCAAAAATTTGCCCGAAATTCGTAGGCTCCTGGAAGCTGTCCAACTGCCCCGGGCAGTAGCTATAGGACATGTCCCCGGTCACCAGAAAGGAGAAGACCCTAAGGCGCGGGGCAATCGTGCCACTAATGCGGCCGCTCGAGAAGTGGCTAGCTGGGACTACGCCGCCCCCATATTAGCCATGGGACTTCCACCTCCTGGCATGGGGGCCTTGCCACCAGTTCCCGAATATTCCCTCCCTGATCTCGCCTGGATCAACGAGGATACCACTCTCCAGAAGGATGACCAAGATGGATGGTACCAAGACCAAAACAACAACCTGATATTGCCTGCCACCCTGGGCCGTCACCTGTGTGAACACCTGCACACAACTACACACTTGGGAGAAAGAAAAACCCTAACACTTCTGCAGACGGCCTGCCTGAGTTTCCCTCAACAAAATGCAACTGTACGGGAGATAATCCAGGCTTGCAAAGCGTGCCAGCTGATGAGGGCAGAGAAGAAGCAGTACTCGGGAACGAGGTACCGAGGGGAAAAGCCAGGGCAACACTGGGAGATAGATTTCACTGAGGTAAGGCCAGGCAAGTACGGGTATCTCTATCTGTTGGTTCTGGTAGATACCTTCTCGGGGTGGGTGGAAGCTTTCCCCACTAAGGGAGAGACAGCAATATTGGTTGCTAAAAAGATCTTAGAGGAAATAGTGCCTAGGTATGGGCTGCCAGTGACTGTGGGCTCTGATAATGGATCTGCCTTTGTGAGCCAGATTGTACAAGGGCTGGCCCAAGCTCTGGGGACGAAATGGAAGTTACATTGCGAATATAATCCCCAGAGCTCAGGACAGGTTGAGAGAATAAATCGGACCCTAAAAGAAACTTTGACAAAGTTGGCAATAGAGACTGGCGGGGACTGGGTGACCCTCCTTCCCTTCGCACTCTTTCGGGTGCATAACACCCCTTATAAGCTGAATCTTACCCCTTTTGAGATTCTGTATGGAAGACCCCCTCCTGTGTATTAGAACCTAGATGGAAAGGCCCTTATGTTGTTCTCCTTACCACTCCTACTGCTGTCAAGGTCGAAGGGATTGGACCCTGGGTTCACTGCAATCACGTGTGGCAAGCCACACCAGAAGAACAGGAA